AAGACACATACACACACATACACATTAAAAAAAAAAAAAAAAAAAAAACCCACATCAAATTTGTTTTTGGAATTTTCACTACAAAATGGAAAGAATTCACCAAGAGTCATCTCAGAACACATTTTCATTTAAATCTAGCACAGTGTAATACAATATAGCTTCATGCAGTATGTCGCTACTTACAGTTCACGCTGTTTCAGGCCCTAAAACATTTATGAATATTATTTGCATTTATTATCCACTCAGTGCTTAGGGTAGTCTCCATTCTATATCATATGAGACCACAATTCGGAGCTATATCATGAGTTCACAGGGAAGTAACAAGAAGGCTTGAACTCCCAATTAATGGCAAGTGCCTAATTTTAAAAAGCACAGGTCAACAATAAAATGGGAAGTTGACAGGAATCTCTCACTTTCAAATGACAGTTTTTAAAATTTATTAGTTTTTATGTGTACATGCACAATAGTGTGTGTGTGTATGCGTGTGCGTGTGTGTGTACAGAGGACAAGTTGCAGGAGTCTTTCCGTCATGTGTGTCACTAGGTGTGTAAGGCTGGCTAGCTAGTGCCTTTTCCCACTGGGCCATCTTATTGACCCTTGAGTGTTTCTTTTAAAAATGATTAAATAGTCTTAAGTACCTTCTACAGTCAATAGCCATGAGACATGATTCCCATCCCAAGTTGGACTTTTCTTGCTGACTTCTGGGCAAGTTGATACTAATGCTGAAAATAAAGAATGTAAGAATTTAGTGTAGGTTAATTGTACTTTCAGATTTTATCTGTAGTAGTGATTCAATAGAATAATATAAGGTACTATCAATGATTTATTAAAAATTTATTTCATGTAATAAATTATACAATTTGTTTTTACCTTTAAACATTCTATACCAAAAGTATTTCTGGAAGTCTTTATCCCTTTTAGTAATATACAGGTGAGCAAGTTGATCAAATCCCCCTCAGTTACACAGTTAAACTTAATCTTCTCTTATCTTTTCCCAAAAGCTCTTATTTGCACCACTGGATTTAACACAACCTGGCTGTGTCTAAGGCCTTAGCTTGAACTGTTAATATTATCTGGTAATAAGGTAATATTCATTATCTGTAAAATCATCACCTTTTGGCACACAGACCATGAGGCCAAAATAAAAGTAAAATGTAAGGCATAAAGGAGGCAGTAAGTCAGACCTGCAGACTAAGGCTGGCTAGAGAGCAAAACCAATAGAGACAAGCAAGTCTGTCTGAAGATCCCCACCACCACCCACACAAAAGCACACACGCACGCTTATGCACACATACACACACTTCTGGCCAATTGGATCTTATCAAATTATTCAGAAGCTATGAAATTTCTGAAATTAACCAACTTTGGTGTATATAAATACTTGGCAGAAATCAGTGCATCTTAAGATTATGAGGCAAAGCAAATTTAATTTTTATATGTACCAAATGTGTATGTTATTTTAAATTTTCCTCTGAAAACAGTATGAATGAGATCGATCATTGTTTTTCACTGCTGTGGTCTCAATTATTGGTTGCCTACTTCAGTGAAAAGACTCAAAACTGAATTTGTCAGGATGAGGTCACATATTCAATATTATTACCAGTTTAAAACACAAGTGCATTTGCATAAACTCCACTAACACCTACAGACGCTATTGGCATAAACATATTCTATAGCTAGGGCCTCAGTGACCGTTCTTCTGTCCTGAGGTTAAAGAAAGAGAATCAGAGAATAATTATTTGCTGGATTAAGACAGTAGAAAAAAATTCATTTAAATAATATTTCAATTTACGTTTGTACACCAAGGGCCTATAGGTGGAACAGAACTGTATTACATAACTCCTCTTGTATAACTTATTCAACTATTACCATAAGCCAATAGGAAGATTCACAGTTCACACTGGATTACAAGGCTGCTGTCACATATTTCCCTGACAGTGAGGACACATCAGCAGAGACCTGGGTCAAATTAACATTTTCCCTGCAGTGTGAGTAAGATGCATTAGTGAACACACATTCCATGACTCAGTTTTCTTCTCTAGGCAGACTACTCCAGCCCAATGACTTTTAAAAAACCAATCTCCAAATTTCTACCTTATGGCCTTATTAATAAGAGGAGTTGGGCCACAAAGACAATAGGAGTGTCTTAGGCAATGCCTGGAATGTGTCTTCCACAACACAGCCTGAGGGTAACAGAGGCAAATAATGAAACAGACCAAACAATGTAAGTGCTTCACAGCAAAGAGGTACAGTTCTTTTAACACGTGTATGTCAACATGAGAGGGAATTAAGTAAATTTTACAGGGTTGGGGAGAAGGCAAGCCTGATGACAAAGAACTATTTTATCCTTTTAAAAAACTGAGTTTTCATTCCCACCAGCAATGGAGGAGGGTTCCCCTTTCTCCACAACCTCTCCAGCATGTGCTATCACTTGAGTTTTTCATCTTGGCCATTCTGATGGGTGTAAGGTGAAATCTCAGGGTTGTTTTGATTTGCATTTCCCTAATGGCTAATGAGGTTGAGCATTTCTTTAAGTGTTTCTCTGCCATTCGATGTTCCTCTTTTGAGAATTCTCTGTTTAGCTCTGTTCCCCATTTTTTAATTGGATTACTTGGTTTGTTGCTTTTCTGCTTCTTTAGTTCTTTATATATACTGGATATTAGCCCTCTGTCAGATAAAGGGTTGGTGAAGATTCTTTCCCAATCTGTAGGCTGTCTATTTGTTTTGATGACAGTGTCTTTTGCTTTACAGAAGCTTTTCAGTTTCATGAGGTCCCATTTATTGATTGTTGCTCTTAGAGCCTGTGCTGTTAGTGTTCTGTTCAGGAAGTTGTCTCCTGTGCCAATGAGTTCTAGGCTGTTTCCCACTTCAGGAGTCTACCACAAAAGGCATCTGAAAGACTCTACCTAGCAGTGTTTCAAAGCAGACACTAAGACTCATAACCAAACCCTCGGCAGAATGCAGGGAATCATATGAAAGAAGGGAAGTTAGTATGATATGGAAAGGATAGGAGCTCTACAAGGACCAAATATATCCGGGCACAGGGTCTTTTCTGAGACTGACACTCAACCAAGGACCATCTATGGATATAACCTAGAACTTCGGCTCGGATGTGGCCCGTGGTAGCTCAGTAACCAAGTAGTTTTCCAAAGTAAGGGGAACACGGACTATTTCTAACAGGATCTCAAGGGCAGGCTGTTTGACACACCCCCCCCCCCCCCAGGGGAGGAGCAGTCTGTTAGGCCACAGAGGAGGACTTTGCAGCCAGCCCTGAAGGTACCTGATAAAACAGGGTCAAATGAAAGGGGAGGAGGTCCTCCCCTATCAGTAGACTTGGAAAGGGGCAGGGAGGAGACCAGGGAGGGAGTGCGGGGTTGGGGAGGGAATGAGGGAGCGGGATACAGCTGGGACACAGAGTTAACAAAATGTAACTAAAAAGAAAAATAAAATTAAAAAAAAAACAAAAAACTGAGTTTTATGACCTTAGGATCAACCTTGGAGCCAGGAGGAACAGAACTGGAATTAAAAGGAAAGGGTTAACAACCAAAATTGCAGTGGATTGTATGCACCAGGGATAAAATGTCATACCAAATCTATCATCCACATGTGGGTTCATGTGATTTATCTTCAATTAGAATTATTATCTCCTCAGCAGCTGAAGCCCAAGAACTGCTGCTACTCGGCAGATGAGGAGCATCTTCAGTTTCTGGACTCTGGCCTTTCTTAAGCAAAATGATGATCACACAATATAGATCCCTTGTTCTAGAAAATCATTTTGGCCTGATGCGTAGGAAGCTGCACTGCCAGCACTTCCATTGGCGGCATCCTCTGACGCTTGTGGGCTCCTCGGAGACGGGGCTTCTGGGGCTTCTTCTGGTCTACAGAGCAGTCCCAAATCCACACAGAAAAGAGCAAAGACTTTCAATCCAAAATTTACTCCCATGTGACGAGTCACTGTCGCTACCCAAGAGCCACTGTAGTGCCCGGCTCCCAAAGGCAGAGTGCAGTCAGCAGCCACCTCGCTGTACTCAGCCTGGACATGCATGTGCACCAGTGGCTCACCCTGCCCCGCTTACACACTCCAACAGCATCTGCTTGAGCTCACCTTTACAAACCCTCCAAGATCACACACAAGGAAGAACACCCCTTCCTTTCCACACAGCTCAAGCCAATACAAGAGATAGAAAGCATCACTGTTTCTCACTGCTGCTGTTTTCATTTGTTGGCCACCTACTTCACTGAAAAGAGGTCAGCACATCCGGCCCATTCTGTGGGGAGAATACGTTCGAGGAGAAGTCAGTGAGAGTTTCACTTCAGACAATGGCCTCCTCTTTGGAAAAGCAGGCCAATCTTTACTAAAAGGATCCTCCTGCAGCATTTAATATACCACGAGCAAATTTACAAAGGCATTTGCTCAAATGATTTCTCTATGAACCCTTTTCCCTGTGAGTATGTCTTGGCTGGAATGACAGGCCACAAAGCAGGTCTGAGAAACAAAGCTTTGGCATGGTGTTGTCACCAAGAGGCCTCACTAATCCCCTCGACTAGTTTGTTTGTTTATTTGTTATAATATGTGTATATTACAAGTAAACAAACAATATATACACAAATAAACTATATACATATACACACACATACACACACACACACACACACACACACTGCAACAAAAATCACTGTTAGAGCTCCTGGGCCCAGAATTTCAGAGTCATTCATACACACACACACACACACACACACACACGCACGCACGCACGCACGCAGAAAGTAAACACACTCGTTTGCAGCACTGTATCATTTTGACTTCCTTAGCAAGAACATGTTCAAAACCAGGCATATTAACTAGTACCTGAGTAAACCAGTCAGTTCACAAAAGCTGCTTAGAGGGAAGATAGTATGTAGAATAAAGTTTTCAGTTGCCCAAATAGAAAAATGAGAAGGTACCACATAAAACAATTTATAATAGTTGTCATTCAAAAGTCTCTTTGAAGTAGACTTGATAACATTCAGAGCTATCTTTTTTATTTTTGCAGTCACGTCACTAAAATATGGTCTAAAAATGTATAATTATCTGATTTTATAGATATGTGAACAGCATGACGCACTTAAACAAACCAAGCTATCCATCACATCGCTAGGTGCAGCGTTTCATGGGACCACTGACCTCCATGAAGCCCATCACGAATAGCAATATCAGGCATCACTATGGCCAAGCTGCGATATAAGGCAATTTGGAAACTCCTCTTTACTGAGGAGCTCCCTTCTTTAAACTATTGACATTCTGGATTGGAGAATTCTTTTGTGGAAACCTTGTGTTAGGCAGTAGGTAAGATATTGAGCAGAACTGCCAGCTGCTGCAATTTAATGTCACTAACACCCTCTTTGAGTCTTTACATGTTGCTTATATACAACCAAGCCAGTCCAGTTGAAAATACCTGCTCTTAAGCTTGTGTCTTGGCTCTGCTTCTTTGGGAAATGTCCCTTCTATGGGCACAGCGACAGCTAAACAAACATCTAGTATTTAGCAGCATTAGAAACAGATCTTTCTCAATTCTGTGTGATCAGAAACCAAAGAAATCTTTGAATGCTGGAGAATAGCTAAGAAGAAGCACTCTGTATTTCCGTGAGAACTACATGTATCTTTACAGTTTATATTAGCAATAATCATCTGAATTGTGTTGCTTAACTAATAGAACAACCAGAAAATGATCACTGCAACAGATCATTTACAGATTATGTTATAATCTGTAAAGATCATAAAGACCGAGGCATTCTAAGGATAACAAAAACAATCACCAATGGCTACCCTCAGACCAGTCCGAATATTTCTTATAAAACTCTCAATTCAAAAACTTGACAGCATTTAAACTGTTTGTGTGAACTGTAGCAAAAAGAAACCTGTGTCATGAAGAACAGTGCTGGTCCATGTTGTCCTCCGTGTTACCTCGTTTTCTAGTCACCTCTTCAATGCCATCTTCAGCTTTCTTGTCATCCTCAACTCCACACATGCCCCTTGCCTTATTTTTTTCTTTTTTTACTGTCGTTAAGCACTTGTCAAGTCTCTTTATGAACAAGTCCACATCCTGTGTCTTCATCCCTATGGCTGCTGCCGCATTGAGGTAAGGACAGGAGTAATTATCTGTGTGGGTCATGAAGCCTCGGAAAGTGTAGCCACTCACAGTTTGCACACTCCCAAGAGGCACAGCCCTGAAAGAAAAAGATTTATCAACCTGACGTGTCTGGTGAGGTTAATAGGAGCCACCCAGAAACAAGACACCTGTCTCACTAAGCCATACAGTCACCGATTAAGAAGCTAAGAAACAGCCATAAATCGTGGCCTGTGCAAACAACTGTCAGCTTAAAATGAAACTGTAAAATACAATTGCAAAATCCTGCCTAGTGATGAGCAATTACTCAGCTTCTGTAATAGAGAGCAAGAAGCTCATCTTCACATCTTCTTCAAAGAAGTAATAAGAAATTTAGTTTTGTGCCAAATCTAGAATCTGACTTCAACTGTGTAAGCCAAAATGCTTTGGTTTATTGTCACCTCACCAAATGAAAACTTCAGTCATACAACCAGCACAGCTCAATGAAAGGACTCACAGCGGATTTTAGGAACTATGTAACTGCGTCAGTGGGTGGTGACCAGCTGACAGCAATGGCCACCAACAGCATATGCATTAGGCCGACTTCCATGGCATCCTTAGACACAAGGAGATTTCTAATTTTTCACTTTTTAAGAAACCAATTATAGGCTGGTCATGGTGGTGCACAACTTTAATCCTAGCACCAAGAATGCAGGTGCCAGCAGATCCTTGTGAGCTCAAGCTCAGCCTGGTCTACAAAGCAGGTTACAGAACAGCCAGTGCTACTACATAGAAAAACACTTTCTCAGAAAAAAGGAGAGAAAAAGAGAAAGAGAGAGAGAGAGATCGAAAGCATCAAAAACTACTCGGTATTCAGACAGTTTCTCAAGTTAAAAGCTGAACTGAGCTAAGTTTTGTTTTTTTTAAATAAGCTCTCATTTAGCCAGGTGTGGTTAGCACTGGAAGAGAGGAAGAAGTATCCCAAGGCCAGCCAGGCTATATAGCAAGACACTGAATAAAAACAAGACAAAACAAAACAGGACAGAGGCATGGCTAGGTGGTTAAGAGCTGTTCTTGTGGAGCACCCAAAGGCCCCAAATTCCATTACCAGTTCCTGTGTCTGTTAGCTCACATTCTACCTTTGACTCCAGATCCAGGCAAATCCAATCTAAACCAAGTCTTTTGACACAGGCATTTTTATCCTCTGCAAATGTAGTGCTTAAATAAGAATAGCCCCCATAGGCTCATATATTTGAATGCTTAGTCATCAGAGAATATCATTACTTAGAAAGATGAGGAAGTGTGGCCTTGTTGAAGTAGGTGTGGCCTTGGTGGAGGAAGTATGTCCCTGGGGGTGGGCTTTAGTCATCAGGGAAATGCAAATCAAAACAACCCTGAGATTCCACCTTACACCCATCAGAATGGCCAAGATCAAAAACTCAAATGGCAACACATGCTGGAGAGGATGTGGAGAAAGGGGAACCCTCCTCCATTGCTGATGGGAATGTAAACTTGTACAACCAACTTTGGAAATCAATCTGGCTCTTTCTCAGATAATTAGGAATAGCGCTTCCTCAAGATCCAGCTATACCACTCCTAGGCATATATCCAAAAGATGCTCAAGTACACAATAAGGACATTTGCTCAACCATGTTCCTAGCAGCTTTATTTGTAATAGCCAGAAGCTGGAAACAACCCAGATGCCCCTCAACGGAGGAATGGATACAGAAATTGTGGTACATTTACACAATGGAATACTACTCAGCAATTAAAAACAAGGAAATCACGAAATTTGCAGATTTCAGAAGCACAAACCAGGACCAATGGCTCTCTCTCCCTTTCTGCTGCCTGCAGTTTACAATGCTGAATTCTCAGCTACTTCTCAACATCATGTCTGCCTGCCTCTTGCCATGCTCTCCTCTATGATGAAATTGGACTAAATCTCTGAAACTACAAGCAAGCCCAAATTAAATGCTTTCCGCTGTAAGAACTGCCATGGTCATGATGTCTCTTCACAGCAATAGAATAGTGACTAAGACAGCTACTCAGAGTAAATGTTTTCATAGAGATGTATATAATGAAAAGCATTTAGAATAAGATATATTGTTTTTCTCTAATGTAAAATAGCTGATTTTGATGCCATGTACATATGAGCAGAAAGTATGATAATACTTGGTCAAGAATGGCATAAATCTCTGAGTTTAGTGTTTGGTTAGTTTTTATTGTCAATCTAACACAATCTAAAGTCAACTGGAAGATGGAACCTCAGATCAGATTGGCCTCTGGGTTTATCTTCAGAATGTTATCATGACTGCTAATTGATACAGGTGGTCCTAGAGCACTGTGGACAGTATTACTATCTCTTGGCAGGTGGTCCTAGACTGTTTAAGAAAGCTAGTGAACATAAGTGAATGAACTAGCCAGTAAGTTTTTTCCTCAGTGGTTTCTACTTCAGTTCCTGCCTGAATTGCTACCCTGACTTCCCTCAATGATGGACTATGACCTGGAGTATAAGGCAAAGAAATACTTCCCTTCCTAATTTGCTTTTGATCAGAGTGTTTTAATCACACACAAAAAAGAAATTGAACTAGAACAATTAGAAAACAGTATTTCCTTAGCAACATTTCAACTTGAAATTGGTAGTAAATATGACATATTTTACTATCATAACGTGATATACTGAAGATCATCTAAGAAACCTACACAGAAGCTGGGCCTATGAGGGAGGATGAGACAGGAGGCTTGCAAGTGCTAGGCCTGACTGGACCATACAGTGAGTTAAAAGTCCAGCCTGGACAGCTGGTGAAGCCTTGTCTGAAAATAAAGAATTGGGAACGCAGCCATGGTCAGGTGCTTAACCACCTTGCCTCGGGCCCTAGGTTCCATCCCTGAAACTGCAGCAGCAGCAGCAGCAGCAACAATCCATCCAGAGAGGTCCTAAAACCAGCCTCCTGTCTTCCTGCATTTTGATCCTGGAGTCCAGAGGTGGGGCATTAACAGCCTTACAGGTTTGTTACCTTATTGTTCTTCGACTACAGAGAATTCTCAGGCACATCTCAGTATATACTGAAGGTCTACTGATAGGAAGTCCTTGATTAAACTTTTTATTTTTAAGAAAAGCCAACACAAGCAATCTTATTGGAATAAAACTTGAAAGTCATTATGTGGTAATGGGCTGGGTAAAAGAGACAGACAAAAGACACCAAATCACTATACAGGACAGCAAAGGGCAAGAAGGACTAAAGAAGGCAAAGCCAAGCACCAAATCCCAGTGGGTACTGAGGACAAACGATAGCCTCGTTGTCTTAGAGAACACTCTTTTGCACAGCTGGGCTTTCACTTGGTGGCATGGTCATAAGTAGCACCTGCCATTTGAACTTTCAATATCTTAAGAGTTTAGGAAGTAGAAGTAGAGCTTGGAAGTCATAAAATTAGAGAAGTCCTGAAAAAGCCATTAGAAAAACCATAGGATGAAAACAAAACAGGTCACAAAAGCTACCCTGCCCTGCTGGCTAAGGGACGGACACATACAGTGACACTGAAAGCAAACTCATTTCTTCAATCTACTCACCTGGCTCCAGAAACCTGTCTGATAAAAAGCATCGAGCCAAGCTGAGTGACAGTTTTGTCTTGGTGTCCATCTAGTGTCTCAAGTGTCATAGCTAGGATAAAAAAAAGAAATTCAATCAGCTTTTGGATTACAAAAACCCCTCAAGACAAATAATAATAAAGAAACTACTTTCCTTCACTGCTCCATGGCACAACAGCACTTTACTGTACTTGATAAATTATAGCAAGTGTTATTTCCATATCGACAAACATAATTTTGAGCAAACGTTCACAACCATGGACACAATCCCCTATCTCCCTTTTAGAAAGTTAATTTTCCAGCTAAGTACATGAAATAATGATGTTTTCAATGGAGGGGCTAACTGAATTTAACCGAGTTGGAAGAACGTAAGCAATGAGGTTATGGAGTCTTTTCTCTCAGTGCAGTAAAATCAAGCTTAACCTCCGCACGCTCAGACGCAAGCCCATTCTGAGACCATGTGGCAAACAGCACCCTTGGCGCTCCACCACCGCCACAGCCATCATTTCCTGAAGACTGGCGTGGCATACTACACACGTAACAAACATTATCTCAACTAGTCTTAAGCAATTCTGCATAAGAATCTAAGAGAGAGGGAAAACGGACTGGCAACTAAAACACGGAAGACCTGCTATCCCAACTACAAAACATGACCTGCTGTGTGGGCAAAGATCTGGAGGCTTTCTATTAGGTGTTGGTGCCCACGTGGTTCTCCATGATTGCCTCCTTTAAAAGGCTTCAGTTATGATTCATTTTCCTCAACTGAATGAGAAATATAAAACATATTCTACTTCCACATATTCACAAATTAATTATGAAGTTTTTAAGTTACTTAGGTGTGTAAAAGTCAATTATTCACAGTTTTGGTTTTTGAGCCACAGTTTCTCTGTGTATCCCTAGGTGTCCTGGAACTCAAGGCCTGCCTCTGGGATTAAAGACATGTGCCACCACCACCTGGCTCAATTAGTCACTTTTGACAAAAGCTTTTTATTTAGGTACTTGTTTGTGGGCATGTGCACGTATGTTTAGGTGCCTCAGGAGCCAGAAGAGGGGGCTAGAGTCCCCAGAGCTTGAGTTAAAAGCAGTTGTAAGCTGACCTTGTCAGAGCTGGAAACTAAACTCACATCCTCCAGAAGAGCAGCAAGCATTCTTAACCACTGAGCAGTACCCTAACTACGTGCCAAAATACTGGTCCTTGTATTAGCAAATCAATTCACAATACAGCTCTTCCTAACATGCAGAAGCTGAGGGAAATAAGCAAAGACACTAAAAACGCGATGCTGGTGCTCTCTTAACTAAGAAAACTGTCATTATAAGAAGCAAGCCCTAAATTACTATCAACATATTCATTATATTTACTATTGTTCTCATTCCCTCAGTAGATAGGTTTTACCTTGGAGAAACATTAACACATTTCTAATGATTAAGTAAACTTCTGGTTACCAGTTTATACTGAGATAGATTTAGAAATAACAGCACAATTAAAACAAATTCACTGTTTCTGTAAATGATAACTTCCTCCTAAGAATATCTCAGAAATATTTTTCTATTAAGGAAAAAAAATTACCTAGGGATATGGGGTTGTGAGGTGTCTCCAGTAGTCTTTCATTATGGGTCTCCGCCAACTTCTTTAGTTGGATAGATAAATAGACAAACATTTCCTGAAATAACAAAATATCACATTTAAAAGTCAAATAAATAAAATTCAACCTCAATGCAAAAATCTGACTGGGATAAAGTGTATGCTATTTACCATCTCATCCAGGTCATAATACAGTGCGATTCAGAACCACTGCAGAGAGCAGAAGTTGGAGGAAAAGCCAGTCCCAGCCCACTTGGGACTGGTCTTGGGCTATCATATACCTCATCTCTGCAGAAATTCCCAAGTTCACACTTCAGAATTATTTTGATTAGAAGGGCAGCATGTTGTTAAGTTGCCCAGGCTAGAGATAAGCTTTTGATCCTCCAGTCGCAGCTTCCCAAGTAGCTGGGATTATAAGTATGTACTGACACACCTGGCAAGAGCAAGCATTCTACCCAACTAGCCATCCACTTCTGGACACAAGACCAGCACAACACGCTTCACCTCCAACTCCTCTGTCCTCTGCACTCTGCTGCAGAGGACAGAATGGTTCTTTACACAATAATTAGTTCCTGTCCTTCTCAGGTGACTTCCTTCTGTAACTTCTTAAAAAAAAAAAATCTCTTCAAAGCTACAATGGATCCATTTAGTATGCAAGTTATACAGTAAGAGGTAGTTGAAAATGTACACGGCCATGTGTGTGCATGTGTGTATCCCCAGGTCAAACCAGCCAGCATGTGTGTGCAAGGTAAGTGCTCCACTTCTCAACATTAATCTCCTGGCCCAATCTACTCTGTTTAAGGCTAAACAGCTAAAATTCACAATTCTCTTAACTCAATCCAAAGACTACCATGACTAAAACCAAAACGTTTTCTACTTTTCCAATAGCAGAAAATGTAAAAAATGTTTCTAAGGCTAAATGTCATACATAAGAGACATGGTAGCATAACTGAGTTAGTAGCTATTTAAGTTAAGTTATTTTCTTCTGCTTCTTCTGAAAAGGTGTAAAATAAACCTGCCCAAGTAGACCTACAGTTAGGTTAGTCTACCTTCACTGACCTCCACCCATGGTCAAGCATAAGATCTGAAGAGGAAATGACACTTTCAAGTTCAAAGGCCACAAAAGCTGCTTCTGCTTCCTCCCTACAGTCGCTCTCTCAGAGCAACTTTTCAGGTCCACAGATGAGCAACTCTATCTGGTTAAAGATAAAGACTAAGGGAGGAGAGAGAATGCTGTACAGTTTTATGAATTACCAGTTTTCTTACAGCTACAAAGGCTTCAACCCATGACAACAATATGTGTTTTATATTCTCACTTAAAACATTAAACTAAAAATCATTCTTAAATTTTGAGATATTTTATAAGAACAATTCTTAGCATGTCAGAATCATGAAATATTCACTAAATTAGTTCTTTTTATAACCAAAAAGTAAAAAAAAAAAAATCACAACTGACAATCTGTTAGTTGTAGTAAGACTTCCTCTTGTCATAAATATATATGTGTGTGTAATATATACATAAAACACATAAAATCGTGATCATGAGCTACTGAAAACATAAATTATTGTCAAATATTTTAAAAATGTTACATAAGGGTGTTTGCCTGTATGTGTGCTGTGTGCTTGTACCTGTGGAAGCCAGAAAAGAGTGTAGGATTCCCTAAAACTAAAACTGGGAGACCCCACATGGATACTGGGAATCAAACCCACATCCCCTGGAAGAACATCTCTTCAGACCCTATTTTCAAGTCTTTCTATCCTTTGGGCTTACGTTAAACAGTGCCTACATTTTCAGAGCCATGTAGAGCAGTAACTCATCTAGCAACTAATATTTTCAATTGACTACTTTTCCAAGTATATTTCTTATCATTCAGTACTTGCCTGTATCTCAAAATATATCCCTATCTGCAAGCTACGTTTGATAACAGCAATAATTGTATATACAACCACGAAGGATCAGTATTCTACTTAAGTTTCTACTTACATCATTTCCTATAAAATTCATAATTTCATTAAACTAAAACATAATTTGAATACATTTTTTGAGAAATATTTAAGACAACTGTGGTCATTTTCAGAAATAGAATGGAGAAAGTTATGTGAAAAAGGATCTTTTCTTGGACATTTTATCTAAAGATTTTCCTGGATCATCCCAAACCAATATTGTATACTCCTTCAAAAAGTAGAACATGTAAGAACCAAATAGACGTAAGTATACCAAGAATGTTATGGCAATTAGAGCAACTCAAAATCTCTTTTTGCTTAAGTTTCTAGAAGTGGAATTCCTGGGTTTTGTGTGTGTATTTTCATCTACTACAAAGTACACAGGTTGCTAATTTTAAATGCTCTGCATTTTTAGAAAACACAGCCCCTATTTCCATACAGGTATGAGATGCTAATATTTCATTATCTGTACTATTTACTAAAACCCTAACTTTCATCAGTAGGTCTAACACTTCCAACTCTCATTAGCAGGAATAAATCTGATAAGCAGGAAATACCCTTTATAGATCCCTATGTCCCCATAGCAACAAGGAGATCACCTTTGCCTTTCACTTATCATTAAGCATATATTAAAGAAACAAAGTTCTTCAGTTATGTACTTCAGTGCTGAAGCCCAATCTTAAACAACCTTCTCTCTAGTGTGGCTGTCATGTCTGTAGAGTGGAACTAATGAGTAGTTAATCTGTACCTGAGCTAGGGTTTTGTTTTGGTTTGTTCTTGTTTGTTTGTTTTGTTTTTTGGAGAAGAAATGTTTCCTCAGTGACCCCCCCTCAAGGGTACCTGCAAATGTGACTGTGAATACATGGTTATTGAAAAAAACTGAATTTGTAGATGTTCAAGCCTAATCCATTAGTAAGGTACTTTTAAGCAGGATTAAAAGTTACTTTAAACAGTGATCTATCAATCACTGGCTAACGCCAGCAAAATCCAGAGGCTGAGACTTGTTGAGACCTGGTCGCACCACATAGCCTAGACTATCCTTCTCTTCTGAATGCTGGGGTTACAGGTTCAAGTCCCCATCCCTAGCCAGAACTCAGTTTTAACTGTGAACAACATCAGGAAAGAAGTCTTTATATTATAAAGATAATCGCAAGGAAACTAAATCCCATGTATCATTAGTGCTAATATAACTCAACTTTTAAAACTTATTTTCAAATGAAGTTCATTCAATAGAAAATAGTTACAGTATCTTTCCTGAGCGCAGAGGTTGTAGTAGGTAAACTACTACCTCAAAGTACAATATTGGACTGTACAATGGTCCATGCAGTACAGTACAAAACGTCCTATTACTATCACCACACTTTAAGAATATCTTTCAGGAAAGTGTATGGCTATCCTATACTAACACTTAGCTAAGCAGTTTTCACCTGATGCATGATGGTGCTATAGAACTTGTACTGTTTTCTGCTACAGTTAAATCTATAACTGACATTTATTATAAAATACTCTGTAACGGAAGAAATTTATAAGCAACCCAAGCAAATGTGTGTAAAAAGATCTTACTTACAAGAAATGAAATAATATTGATTTTCTATGTCCTTTGTGCTGTATTTAACTTCATTTTAGAAGACTTTCATTACAGATAAATTGAACCATATACCTGAATGCTAATGTCAGCTACATTTCTAGAATAAAATCACAAAACCTTACACAATAGTTCATGATGTTAATAAAAAAGGAGCCGAATTATATTAAGCACTATCTTTTGTAAGGCCTCTGGATTGCAAAATGGTCCAACATGTATACTAGCCCTCGACAGAATCCTGATATGTGTACATCACTAAGCCGTCCAGAGGAAGTCTCGGGCTCTGTCTGTGAAACACACTGCTTCATGTGATGGCGTGAGCAGAAAATGGTAATCCACAGCTGGCTCCATAAGGAGCCAAGGAACGGGCACACGGGCAACGGCATGGCAACGTACCCACATACACAGATGTCTACAGCTGAGAAAAATGGCACTAAACATTGGGGGCTCTACTGTGGCTGGCACCAAGAATCTCCACACACTCAGTAAGGCTTGCCTCAGCGGCAAAAACTCTGCCTTAGAGTTGCAGAAGTCCCATTTCCAAGCTCCAAATCAGACATCTGCAAGAGATTCAAGAATTCCACTTTTAGGGCACAAATGTACCACTGCTTCAGAATTTGGCTCTGTTACAAGACACTGATGTTACAAATCTGGTGCTCTCCTGGAACATGGTTTGTCCTCAAAGTTTCAGCTCACAACAGCTACTCTACTACATTATACTACTTCTGTGCTTGTCCACATACTTGCAACAATAAATGGCAGTCTGCCACCCTGTTCAGCAAAGCATTCTTCTCTAAGGAGAGCTGGGCAAAATAATGGGCTTCTCTGGAAACAAGGCAAAAAGCAAGGACAAACTTCTAAGGCTGATCTTTCTTTTTGCATAAAGAAACTCAGAGAAACAGTGTCTTGTATTTTAACCTCTTTTCTTAAAGGCCTCTTCCGTTCAATTCCTGGTCATTCCTCCCCACTATAAAGCAGATGCACTGATGGGGAAGGGGCTAAGGGCAAAGAAGCTCAATTCACACACAAAGTTCCATTCTCTCTGATCCTTTCACCCTTCAAAAAGCAAGGCTTGAGAAAAGGCATGGCTTCAAGCTGAGTTCTTGTCTGCCTCTACTATGACAAAGGTAAAGCCTTTTTTAAAGAGGTATAGCTGGAAGAAATAACCTCTAAAAATACCATTGTGGGGAATAAGGGCACAGAATAAAAAGAAATCCGAAGTTTTCCTTTAACACTCCTTTTTTTAGCACGTATAACAGCAATAACATAAAACGGCACTCTCAGTGATGGTTTATAAATAGCTCTGGCTGGCACAAAATAGCTTTGCCTCAGCTTCTCCACAGCTGAACCAATAAACTACCATGATGAAATGTTCACAGCAGAGAGAAGTCCACTTTGACAAAAATAAATAAATAAATAAATAAATAAAAATAAAAAAGGCTACATTTCTACACCAAATCAACAAAACGAAACAATGTTTATGCTACATATACACAATTGTGGTTACGGAGGGCATCAACATTTTCTGCAGAAAGACCTACTGGGTGAAACACTAAAGAACAATTTTATTTACATGCAATGTCGGAGTTCTCAGACCAGCCTTCTAGTAGTCTGAAAATTACTCCATTCTATTGTCCTAAATAAATTCTATACAAAGAATTGTAAATACAATCAGTTAGTGCATTTGAGAGCTTCTCGGGTTTTTTAAGTACCTCTACTAGACAGAATGGGAGAATCAAGAATCAATCATCATCTTTATGGCTCACATGCCAAACATGATGGGATCAATCCCTCCCTCAGTGCTGTCTCAGTAACTGCAAGTATTAGAGGACAATGGTAAGACAGAATACACAGGGGCCTGAGCAGCACCCAGACTAGGACTTCACCAGCATTCTGGGACTTGCAAATGGCTAGCCAGTCCTTGGGCTAGTAAGTTTTCCCAGATCACAATTTTACATGCAAAATGGAGACAATTCCTACCACATGAACTTGATGAAAACTGCATCAAAGAATAGATATAATGAACCTAGCAGAGGACCAGTGGCATGGCTTAGCAGGATGCGCAAGCCTGACCACTCGAGTTCAATCTCTGGAACTCACATGGAAGGTGAGAACAACTCCTGAAAGTGTCCTCTAACCCCACAAGCACAAACTCATCACCTGAGGATCTTGGTTGTATGAATAAGGTTTCTCTAAAAGATTGTCTTCTCTTAGCCATAACAGTCTATAACAGTGACAGCTTTCGTGAGAGCATAAAACTATAGTTTTATTCCTACGGTGTAAAAGCTTGTTGTCTGGTTTGGCCAAGAACAATTTATACATGGTGAAACTTCAAGTGTCCACTTTCCAAATGTGCACATCTCTGAATTTTGAAAAACATACATAGCTTTAAAACCACTTCCACTAAAGACATAACTGTAAGATATCTCACCACTCCCAAAAGGTGCTTCCCCGACCCTAGCCTCCAGTACCAATCTGTTTTTCTTGCCCCTGTTTCTTCTACCTTTCCCAAGGTGCCATATAGATGAAAGCACATGAGAGCCTTGTGAGTCTGCTTCATGCATTTATTGTGATGTACTGGAGCCACTTTGTTGTATACCTGCAGTTTGGTCCTTTCCATTGCTAAGGGCACATGTGCCAGTGTATTCCTCTGTTCATCAGAAGATGGATATGCGTGCTTCAAGCGTTGGGCAATTATAAACTGCATCATTACAAAAAGCACCCAACAACACATTTTTATACAAACTCAAGCTTTCGTTCTCTTGAGCAAACAGCTAGAAGTAGAACAGCTGCTCTGTGTGAGTTACGTTGCTAACTTTTAGGAAGGAGCCATAGTATGTTCTAAAGATGCATTACATTTTACATTCTCATCAGCAGTGTCAGCCTGCGTCAGGATTCAGTAACATCGAGGTTGTATTGTTGCTTTAGCTGTGTTTTGTTTTACACTAGCCATTTCTAATAAGCATGTAAGTGTGTAATGAAAGGTTGCTCACTGTGGTTTTAATTCGCATTTCTCTAAGGGATGGCCGTGTAAATCTTAAGAAATATTCTCACAATTTAAAAAGTAAAAAACTACTTGCCCATGGATTAATACGGAAAGGAAGACTGAAGTAAAATGCCACAAAAAACTTAAACATCAAATCTGTTTGAGTAGTAAGACTGTTATGGGATCTATGACATAAAGCTATGTCCATGCTTTAACCTATATGAAGTACATCCAAAGGATTACAATTGCTAGTTGGCACCATAGGCTATACAGACACAAATGCCATGCCAGGGTCTCTAGCACTCCTAGGTAGATAAACACTTTAATCTGACCTGACCCATCAACAATTATGGAACTGTCTCAAATGAAGCTTTTCTGCCTTGGCTTGTTCTAAACAAGACTGGGTCTCACTATGTTGGTCACAAATTCTTGGGCTCAAGAGATCCTCCTGTGTCAGCCTCCCAAGTAGCTGGGACTACTACAGGCCCACACCACCAAATTTGTCACTTTTTATCACTTACAGCCAATGTAAGTCCCGTGTTTCAGCAACCGTAAAAAGGATCTGAAATTTCAATATAAAAGGCGGCAACTCCTACTGGCTCCTCCCAGGACTAGCCTGGCACACCTCAACAAGCCATTAGCCTTTCGAGTCACTCCAAAGAAAACCTCCCCATTTGTCTTTCAAGTGCCGCTATGCCCGAAGCTGTGAGAGATGCCTGCAGTCCCAGCACTCAGGAAGCAGAAGCAGAAGGACTGTCCTAGTTTGATGCCTGCCTTGTCTACATAAGCAAGCACCAGGCCAGCTAGGGCCACACAGCAAGACTCTGTGCTAAATAAATGAATGAATAAATAAATTGGAGCTAGTGAGACTACAAAGCAGGTAAAAAGTACCTCCTCTTAAGCCTGGTGATCTCATTCAATCCCTGCCCCCACAAATAGTCCTCTGACCACCACACATGCATGGCACATGCACATGAGCACAGAAATAAATATTTAAAAAATTGTTTAATAAAAATTAAAAAGTAACATAAAAAGGAAAGCCCCTTTACCTTTAGGTGACAATTGAACAAATAATTCCAATACAGATGTTTGTAAATAACAAATACCAAAAGTAAAAGTAGTACTTCTGAACCACTCCTCAGCACAGGACAGACAGGCTGATTATCTTCAACTGGACCAATCACAGACGACAGTGGCTCTGACCTGAGTGACACAAAGTGCCAGCAGCACTCAGCACACAAGCAGACCTCACCTTTCTTTCCTTTAACAGCTTCTTGTAGCCACTGGAGCCAAGTGACAGCAAGGTAATAAGGACATCTAAGGATGGTGAAGCTGAAGCTCTCCCTGCAAACACACAGACAAGGTATGTGAGGGAAGGCTGGCGGAGGAGGCTCGGGAAAACATGAGTCAGTACAGAAGGCTTTGTGCACATGCATTTTTGTCATTTTTGTCCAGTGGTTACTTAAAAAAGTTATCTATTTACCTGGATACATCTTGCTGATTTCCTGAATGAAGACATCATTAAAGCCAGCAATTACAGCACCACCTACTGGAACCATAAAATTTTTGTCCAAGCTCTGAACAAAAACGTCAATTCTACCAACCCGAGCCCCCTAGAATCAAATAACATGTGAGTCACACGTTAGTCACCAGGAGGACAGACAACTGCTATTACCAACATAGGCCACAGCAACAACAACAAATCATAGTGTACGAAATGATACATACAAGCTCATTTTCATTCCCGCATTTGCAAAGGCTGCTACTAATTTTACCTTAATTAAAAAGTAAAAAGAGTGTCCCTAAAACAGTGTGTAGACATTTGTGAAGGATTGCAGTTGGCTCTGCACAGTGCGAGTCCAGGGTCTCCAGAAGTAAAGCAAGCTCTGGGCGGTGCTCATTAGAAGTGGGACACCCGCACTCAACAGTCAGGGTGCTCTCACAGCTTAATCACCAACTTGTAAACTCTGTGAAGCAGGTGGGATTTCATTACCAGTGAAGTGGGAATCTCTGTGGAGCAGATTTTTACCTTAAAACTGAGAGAGAGACAAAGCAGTTCTCCATGCTCTGCACCTGTGTCCTTTTATTTGACACTAAGGTCTACAGTGATTAATTCAAATACTGGCATTACAACCTAATGAACTACAGCCACCAAAGTGCTAAGCAGCTCAAAAATTAAGCAGCTCTCTGATACTTGAGATAATCTACTAATTTTTTTTTTCTTTTTGAGATTTGTTTGTTTGTGTCTCAGGGCTGGACAATGACCCCAGGGCCAGGCAAGCAGTCAACTGCAAGACCAGCCTTTAAACAATAAAGTCTGCTTCCATAATGGCTCTGGTGACAGAAGAGAAGCCAAATTTTACGCTTTTCATTCACCAATGGCAATTTCATCTGTATATGTATATTCCTGGCAGTTAAAAAGTGATGCTTCTCCATAACTTGTGATCCTTAACATCGTGATCTTAGATGGTCTCATTCCACTGCAAATAAACTCCAAAAGAAGTCTAATGCCCTGGCACAGAGCTGAGCATGGACCTATGAGAAATGTGGAACCAAGTTCTTCTTCCCATCCGACACAGCTATGACCTTCTGTCTAATGTGCTGCAATTTTCTCCTCTTAAAAATGGAGATACTATCTAAATTTCAACTCACATAGCTTTTTCTTTATCTGCAGCCACAGATTTTCAATCTGTAGTCACAATCTACATTCCTATTAATATTATAACCACATTTGACCTTCATTCTCACACTTCCTGCCCACCTCTGTATCTCAGGGAGAATGGAAATCGCAGATAGCTGGTCTAATCTGACAGACCAGATGTGGGCAACAGGTGGAGGTGGCAGAAGCCTGGAAGGAGAGCAGCCTTCACAGAGACATCACCTGACTGTTTTCAGCCTTATTCTTGCCATGACTCTTATTTTTTCTTTTATTCGTTTATTTTTATTAATTAAAGTTTATTCACTTTGTATCCCAGTTGTAGCCCCCTCCCTCATTCCCTCCCAACCTCACCCTTCCTTCCTCATCTCCTTCCCACGCCCCTTCCCAAGTCCACTGATAGGGGAGGTCCTCCTCCTCTTCCATCTGACCTTAGCCTATCAGGTCTCATCAGGACTGGCTGCATTGTCTTCTTCTGTGGCCTGGTAGAGCTGCTCCTCCCTCAGGGGGAGGTAATCAAAGAGCCAGCGACTGAGTTCAAGTCAGAGACAGTCCCTGTTCTCATTGCTAGGGAACCCACTTGGAGACTGAGCTGCCCTGGGCTACATCTGAGCAGGGGTTCTAGGTTACCTCCATGCATGGTCCTTGGATGAATTATCAGTCTCAGAAAAGAGCCCTGTGCCCAGATTTTTTGGTTCTGTTGCTCTCCTTGTGGAGCTCCTGTCCCCTCCAGGTCTTTCTATCTCCCCCTTCTTTCATAAGATTCCCTGCACTCTGCCCAAAGTTTGCCCCAGAAGCAGAAAGACACACATGGTATATACTCACTTATAAGTGGATATCAGATAGAGAGCCTCTGAAAGACTCTACCCAGCAAGATATCAAAGCAGATTCTGAGACTCATGGCCAAACTTTGTGGTGACTCTTATTTTCTAACAAACTATGAACAGAGAAAAACCCACCTCCCTCAGGAAGAGGGAGCAGCACAACAAAACTAACAAAACTAACAAAACAAATTGGGAAAGCACAGCAGAGGGCACCAGGTGAAAAGTGGCTGGGAAGACTGTCTAGGCTTTCTGAGAGAAACTTGAACCTGAACTGGGAGTAGGAAGCCTGACAGGAGGAGAATCAGTATTCCAGGCCACACCACCCTCACCATGAAGACTGCACACTCCATCACAAGAAAATAAGTAGCCACCAGGCACGGTGGCACTCACCTCTAAGCCAAACACTCAGAGAGGCAGAAGCAGGTAGATTGCTGTGAGTTCAAGGCCAGCCTGGTCCACAAAGCAAGTCCAGAACAGCTAAGTCTACATAGAGAAACCCTGTTTTGAAAAAACAAAAAAGAGAGAGAGAGAAAGAAAGAAAAAACAAAACAAAACAAAACAAAACAAAACAAACAAACAAAAACAAGTAGCCCACGCTAGATCTCAGGAATGTTTAACACTCCCCACAATAAAAGAAAAGAAAAGGCAGCAGGCAGAGGCTGTGGGGAGCAAGCTGCACCCTGTGCTCGCAGCACGAATTTTGGTAACTCACACACTAATGGGAGCACAGAGATCTGCTGAATGAAATGACAATCAGGCAAGGGCCAAAGGAACAGTAACACTCTGCTCGAGTTCTTAACACGTGAAGTCGCTGCTTTCCACACTATGGAACTTCACATTCCATTCTAAACAGACAATTCCACACACACGTTTTTATAGCTCTACCACATGGCTCTCTATTAATCTGTCCTAACAGCTCAAATTAAGCATTTCAGTAAATACAAGAAATGCACTTCTTCAGTCTTCTTATACATAACAGAATATCCTATCTGCTCAGAACGAAGTCATTCTAGAGCATCTTTTGAAACTGCTCCATTTTAGAGATGACTGTTTTCTTCACTGATCACAGTTACTGTAATACTGTTTTCTAAACACTGTAGTTTCAGTGTGCTGTAGTTAAGGGGAAATCTGGGCCCTGGTGACAGACGCTGCTATACAAGCTGTTCTGCAGCTATGAGACCTCAGACCAGTCACTTCAACTACTGAGCTTGTTTCCTCATACATGAACACGAATGATGAAAAGTACACCTTAGCTTGTCAGGATTAGGTTAAAAATATTCATAGCCTGATTGGATACCTAACATGCACGGTGGTTCCTTGGTAAACTGCTTATTCAGCTATGACTGAAAGTTAACTTTATTTAGAATGCCATTACATAGCAGTCAGAACTCAACAAGATTCATGTAATTATGTGGTTTAAACCAACAGTGCCATGACCTCTCCTTATATAGGCCAATTTGCAGAAATGTTTATTTGCTATTTAAAGACGAGTTATTTTAGAAGGCAAATAATACTGACAAGACAGCATCCACATTTGAGAAATACCTCATACACATACAGATGGGATGACGACAAAGTAAGGCACCAGGAAGAAGGATCCCAAGAACATCTTTCACCTCAGCTGCACAGCTCCTTCAGTCTTGCTCTCCGTAAGCATACCATCCCATTTTCTAGTATTCAAAAATTTGCCGTGAGCCCCATAGCACTGAACATTTCTCAATCAGGGAACAACCTCTGAGTAATGACTTGTCTGGGCTGCTCGAGCCCGAGGACCAGATTCCAATCCCAGCACCCTAGAGCAGCTCACAAAACACCTTCAAGTCCAGCTCCAAGGTAGGCATGCAATGCCTCTTCTGACCTTCACATGCCATCTGTCTCCCACTAGCTCTCTCACACACACATTAAATGAATAAGTCCAAATAAACCTTTAAAATGACGTGGTGAAAATAATATAGGCATGTGGAAAGTATAAGCACATAACTAACAAGGCTTGAAGTATTTTGTTAAATGTACACAATGACTACAACTATGTGAAAATAGCACATTCACTGGAACAGAAACTGTTCATTATAAAACAATTAAAGGTGCTTATAAGATAGCTATGACCATCTGCTGCTTCCTTTCATAAACTTTTAGAGATGCTCATGCATTTGAATTTTAAAAACATTAAAGATACGGGGTGGGGAATTAGGGTACAGAGAGATGTCCCCATGGTTAAAAGCACTTGCCACCAATGCTGACAGCTGCAAATTGTCCTCTAACTTCCATATATATGCTATAGCACACATGTGTTTAAATGAACACCACACACACACACACACACAAATAAATGTAGTATTTTTTAAGTATTAAAAATTAAAGAAAACATGAGAAATAGAGAGGCATAAAAGTGAGTCATCTGTGCAAAGTGTTTTCAGAAGCTATATCACAAAACACTGTATGCCTTTCTTCCACTCCATACGCATCATACATGATCCAATCTAGACCTGTAAGGGAGCCTTCAAAACCTAAGGAATGACAAAAAGGCACCAAAGAAAACGTAAGAGTGAATAAGTAAAGATCCAAGAGCAGCAGCTACTAAAAGATTTTTCAGATCCTAGAAAACATTTAAATGTTTTTTTTTAAGATTTGAAACTTTTTTTTTTAATTTAACATGGTTCATTCTTACTCTTCCTGTTTTTTTCTCCACATAAAATATAATCATCAATATAGTTTTTTAAATACTGTAATTCAATACATTAGAAGAATGAACATCCTGGGAGCAGGGAGGAACTCTCAGGAAGTTGAGAATATCATCTATGTTGACTCAGGACCATCAAAGCTATTTCATAGGTGCTGGAAAAATGGTTCATCCATTAAGAATACTTACGCAACCATGAGGAAACCAGAGTTTCGATCCCAGAACATACACAACAATTCAGACGTTTTCCACACACCTAAAACCCAAGCTCCAAGGAGGGTGAAGAAATGAGGATTGTCGTGGCTTGCTGCCTTTCAGCCTAGCTGAGAAAATTCAACCCACGGGTTCAGGAGAGACCCTGCCTCAGTAGAATAGGAGAACAATGAAAGGACACTCAGCACCCTCTTCTGTCCCCCAACTGCACACACAAGCACATGTACATACAGAGTATAGGTGTGCATACACTTACACACAGACAGGCAGGCACATAAAATGCATGCATAAGCAAGTAGACCTTTAAAAGCTACTATCCAGTTACCATCATTTACCTAGGAATAATAACCTTCACTAAGAGAATACTGGATACAAAGTTTCTAATGCTCCCTGAAGTAGGGAGAGCTAAATAAATTGTACTGCGATAGGTAACACTGTATTTGGGTACACTATACTGTATCAGGAAAAAAGTCATAATCCTATAGTATATAATATTAATATAATAATTCACCTGCTGAATGAGATGCATGCACTTTGAAGACTGTAATCCATAAGCGTTGTTGACTACATGCGGAATGTCATAATTAGCACAAATCACAGCCAGTTCTTCTAATCTACAAACATAAACATTTACAGAAAGATATACTCACACTGTGCTTTATAAATAATTACAGAAAGTCTTTATCAATAGTCAATCTTAAGGTATATCAGGGAAAGGGAGAAGGGATGACAAACTGAATCCCCTCTGTAGCATCTTTACATATAATTCACCAGCCTGGAAATATATAGCAAGCACTTTTGGAAAACATAGCAATCCTTTTAATATAAATGAGAAAAACATATTTATAAAAGCTAATGACTTGGGAGGCAGAGGCAAGAGGATCTCTGTGAGTTCCACGCCAGCCAGGCTTCATAGTGAGACCCTGTCTCAAAGGAGAAGGAAAAAAAAAAAAAATCAGCAGAAAAGTTTATGATGGTAACTTTTAAATAATTTCCAAACTTTTCACATATAAGACAAAGTCTACATGAGACCTCACAATGTGCTGTGATTGATTCTGTTCTTACTGCTTTGATTGATCACCATATAAGAGCAAGTACTGGCAAAATAGTAAGCATATCTGGAAACCTTAAGAAGGCTCACAAATTAAAAAGAATGCACTTTCAAATAGACCTTAACTTAAAAAAAGAAAATTACAACAGTCCTGTACCAAAAGTCACTGACCACTGACACTGCCTAACAACTTAGAAACATCCTTTTTAAAAAATATCTGGGTTTAAGCTCTACACTTCTTTATTCTTTTCACTTACACCTCTCATATGAAGGCAATTTGAGATCTCACTTATGTTAAGTACAGTAAGGAACCACAATACAGTGGAGGTTCCTTCTGAAAACACAATACTAGTGACTAAAACCACCTATAAAAAATGTCAGCACACTGCAAAACTATAACTAAATCCTGTGATTCAATTAAACTAATTTTTAAAAATATTCTGTTTTGAAAGCAAAGCATTTTAATATTTCTTTCCAAAAGGATTTAAAATATATGGCATAGGGAGGGAGAGGCAAGAGGCTATCTGTGAGTTCAAGGCCAACTGTTCTACACAGTAAACTCCAGGTCAGTCAGAGATATACAGCAAGTAATGACTGGTATGGTTTTATTACTAAGCTATGCATGACCTAACTTTTTTTTTCCCAGATATGAGCAGGTATGTTTTAAAACAATAAATGGGAATTAGATCAAGTTCATCGATCAGAAACTTTTAATTTGCTTCCTTCAAGTATTATGAATTGTGGTGGTTTAGATAATAATGGTCCACACAGGCTCAAATACTTGAATGCTTAGTCATCAGGGAGTGGCACTACTTAAGAAGGAACAGGTGGTGTAGCACTGTTGGATATGTGTCATAGAGGTAGCCTTTGAGGTTTCAAAAGCTCAAGCCAGGCCGAGTGTCTCTTCCTGCTGCCTGCAGATCTGGATGTACAACTCTCAGTTATTGTCCTGCTCCAGCACCATGTCTAACTGCATGCCACCATGCTTCCTTCCACGAATATAATGGACTAAACCTCTGAAACTATAAACAAGCCCCAATTAAATGCCTTCCTTTATAAGAGTTGCCATGATCATGCTATTTCTTCACAGCAATAGAACACTGACTAGAACATAAACATTAGGGCTGGAGAGATGGATTGGTAAAGTGCTTGCCTTGCAAGCATGAGGACCTGAGTTCAGTTTCTCAGAACCCAGCAGCACATGCCAGTAATCCCATCACTATGAAGGCAAAGACAGGACAATCTCTGGGGCTTGAGGGCTAGCCAGTCTACCTGAAACAGGGGCTCCAGTGACAGACCCTGTCTCCAAAAAATAAAGTGGAAAATTATAGAGGAAGACATCCAAAATCAACCACTGGGGCACAGGTACACAAGCACACACACTACACCTGACTCAATCAATACCAAAATTGCTTCTGCTACTAACAAAATAGACTTGGAATACACATATATTCTCCAGAAGATAAAACACGCTTTTTCACGTGCGTGCTCTAATGAAAGAATGCTTTAATAACTTTCTTGAAAATAAGATATCATAACATTAAACTTATTTAAATAAACAAGACTTGTAAGTAGCTGTAAATGATCTAAATGAATCAGATATTTTAACAGGACATAAAAATATACTAAATAAAAGGCAAAGAAAAGCAGAAAACAGATTTTCCATGTGAGTCCCACTATATTTTAAATCAAAAGCTAGTTTTAATAGCCATCAGAAGTGACATTCTTTTAACATTTCTTTTATATAGATTTCCTCGTCAATACTCCCCAATAATTGGCCAATTAAAAACAAAATAAATACTACACCACTAAAATTAAAGAATATAAAATCAGAAATTCAAATATACTACTAACTTTACATCTCCATTTTCATAAGCCTCACTCATAAAAAACATTTATTACATCATACAACTAAAAAGTAACAAATGACAATTTGCTGACTGATAAACGGTCCTGATTCTTTTTCTAGCAGTTCTATGATGCGGTATCACACACAATGAGAACATGGCTCAAAATGAAGCAAACTCCTCAGAGAGAAATAATTCAACTAATACAAACATCCACAAGCTGTTTTGGGAAATGAGGTTTATTTCTATTCCATTAAAGATTTCTTGATATCAAAATTATTAAAGAATACCATTTTTTTAAAATTTTGATAGAAAATTTAAATGGTCATTAATAAACTACTAAAGCATACTTAGTAGTAACATAATTTTTAAACAGAATTCATAGGTTCGTGAATGACACAAGACAAGTTTTCAAGAGCATGGCTTCAAAATGATCTTTTAAAATTTGCCTGTAAGATAACATGTGATCATCACTGCCAAACAATGTGAGTCTACAAACACCAGAGCTTAGCAACCAGAGTTCAAAGTCAACACAATTTTTATTAATTATTAACACTTCTGTTAAAAGTACTGAAATGAGACCAAACCAGAGATTCTAGCAAAAACAGGCATTTCTGTTAATAAACTTAACCCCAATGACATTTTCATAATAAAAAGTGTGTAGCTATCTTTTAGAAAAGTGAACATCTGCCACCTCCAGGGCTTTAATTTTCCTAATTTACATTATCTTCAAAATATGGACAAGCACTGAACACACTTAGTTTTAATCTCCCAAGCAAAGAAAAGTAAATAATCCTCAAGTATTTATAATCTGTTAATGACCATAGTTACTACTTAGCAAATGAATTGCAAGGCCAAAGAAACAGAGCTGGGGAAAACCACTAAAGCCAGTATTTCACTTGGAAAAACTTAAGCGATGAGGAAAACAACATTGAAAGATTTGAAACAGCAAGAACAGGACAGCAGACAAATGAGAGGACTAAGGTTTAGATAAATGATGTTCACCTCCATATCAGGTGTTTTTCCTTCAGCATCAACTTCTCCAACTCACTACAATAATTTTCCCTGGGATTGACCTACGATCTTAGGCTATTATATTTACTATTTACTACCAAATGTTATGCTTGAGAATTAGTGGACAGCATTTTATTCAAACAACTCATGAATGAACAGGTAAAGACTGGTCAGTTACCTATCAGGTACCCTTGGAGCAAAGCAGGATGTAGTAGAATGAATGCACAGAATAGAGTCACGGCCAAGCTCCTGGATTTTAGCCTCCACTGCAGCCAGGTTTGTGCGCAGCTCGTCGCCTTCCAACACATTTTCTATCACCACAGGTTCAAAACCTAACCAAGTCAACCAGAAATCCAAGCATTAGTATCAACTAAATATGAGAGGGTTCTAGAACTCTAAGAAGCAATGGACAAGCTTTTCCTCCGGGAATAAAGATTCTAGCTCAGAACTTCCATTAGTCTGCAACAAGGCAAAACATGAAGAACAACTACACAACTAGAACTGGATCATCACCGCCAAAAAAAAAGGAAGAAAAAAAGAAAAAGAAACCTGCTCATTCTCTAAGAACATTTCAATTTCATTTATTTCAGAGATACATGTGAATAAAACTTAAGTACTAAAATAATTCACACCCATAAACTTTACGTTTCAATACACACACACACACACACACACACAACTACAATTAATTTCAGTAGCCTGGAGATCACTGACCCATCTCATGGACCAAGAGTTCTTCAGACTTTTAACTGAAATATTGCACTTTACTGGCATATTATTAAAAATCACCCAATAAACAATGATACAAACTTTAATGGTAAAGTTAAGTATCCACAAGCTTTAAAGTTGCATAAAACAAAGTCTGCGCTAAGTTTTATGACTACTACAATTTCTTTAAAGCATGAAGTATATTTAATTTTTCATTTGCTTATCTCCATATAAAGATCTGACTTCTCCCATTGGAGGTTTAAAATATCACATATGCTGCATATCTTCTTTACCTGCAGTGACCATGGACTTAAAGCAGGACTTCTGGTCTATCCGTGGCCATATAATATACTTGGCCTTTGGTCTTTTGTGTCGTAATGTTAGGAAACACAAGGTTAGACTCATCCCAGTTGCCATAGGAACTACAAAGCAACTGGCCACTGAATGAACACCTGCAAATAAAAAATAAAACAATTTATTATCCCATTAATTTAAAAAGAGGCCAACATCCTTCTGGAAAAAAAAAGACATATTTCCTTTATGAAATAACACTAACTATAACCCTGGTTTTTCTCATTTACTTTCATGAAACTAACTCATTGTTGAAGCCTTTAATCCCAGTACTTGGGAGGCAGAGAAGCAGGCAGATCTCTGTGAGTTTGAGGTCAGCCTTGTTTACATGGTGAGTTCCAGGTTACACAGAGAGACTCTGTTTTAGGAAAGAAAAAAAAAAAAAGGACAGAAACATTGTAATTTTCAGGGTGAAGGTAGTCTTTAATCCCAGCAGTCAGGAAGCAGACTCAGGTGGATCTCTGAGCTTGAAGCCAGCCTGGTCTACAGAGTAAGTTCCAGGACAGCCAGGGATTCACAGAGACACCCTGCCTCAGAAAACCAAAGGAAAAAAACAGTCATTTCTCAGGTCATTTCTCATTTTCTATCTTATTCTGAAACAGGTTTATATGTGTGTCCTTTTAAAAGCTACTCATATTGTTTTTGAACAGATATAAGTGCAAGAAACTAGTGTGCTGTCTACTCAGCAATCACATTATGATTGACATGATACATACCAGCCAGCTTTATGATATTAAGCATCAAAGAATTGGTAATTTTGTTCAAGAGGCTAGAGCCTGCAGCTTTTGGTTGCACAGCAGAAATATCACCAGATCGTCCAATTCCATGGATGAACCTAAACAAAAACAGGCAAAAAAAAAAAAAAAATGTACAAATACATTTGGTGTTCAAATAATCTATACACAAGCTTCCAAATATATAACCAAAAACTAGAAGAGGCAGTTTTCTGCTGTTGTAGCTACACTTTATAAAGGACTAATGTGGAAGTACCTTAAGCTGAAATAGTTTCATTATGCTGTAGTAGATAATCTCCAAAGACCACCATTATCATTTTCTTTTCTGATGTTGGTCCACACCAAGAGATACAGTTTAAATCTCCTCCATATCTAAATCTAGATTAGGGGAAGGGGTTGTCCTACTGACTTGCTTGACTGGGAAGAACCTCTGAGTTCTAAAAGGTCATAAGAAGCACTAAAGTCTTCCTGGCTTCTTGAAGGCTTTGATGATGTACACTGTCTTCCTAAATCCAGCTGCCATGTTCAGAGGAGCTCACATCACAGGAAGAGGCAATCTGAGCCCTCAGCCATGTACCCAAGTCATTTTTTAATAGACTGCCCACTCTAACCTTCAACAAGACTATACCAGAAACTCAAAACACTAAGCTACTGAGCTCAGTTAACACACACAAAATGAGGGGGACTAATGATCGTTTTCAGCCATTAGCCTTTGGAGTGATCAGTTTAAACCCATGGTACAGGTAACATTCTATTCCCTCCTTCCTTCCCCTACCAGAACAGTGGGACAGAGTCCAACCTGAATGAGCTGATGCTTCAGAAACTGTCCTAATTCATTGGTGGTGGTGACAGCAGTCTTCTGAGATGGGATCTCACTAAGTAGCCCTGGCTGACTCTATACTTTGGATTCTCCCCACTTTTTCTGCTAAGAGATGGGATTATAGGCAATAGCACCACCCCCAACAAAAACTTTCCCAAATTTTTAAACTATTTTTTGAAATGAATGTACAAATCTACTTGCCTTATATGGTTCTACACACTTAAAGAAATCTCTGAATACTAACGTTAAAAAAATCCTTCTGTCAGCTAGATCTCTTACATTCAATTACACCAGAAACTGTGATGAGGACAGAATCACAGAGCACCAGTACCGTACTTCCTGACAGGCACACCTAATGTATAAACATTCTATACACATTATATATCAACTGGGGCATTGCTAGAAAGGAAATCTGCATCCATATTCATTATCATCAGTTCTGACTGCAGCTGTTTTTATTAAAATAAAATTTTAGTATGCCTCAAGAACTTCACCTTGATTTTAAAAATGGAGCTTTTAAGAGTTCATATTTCTCACAAAAAGAGTGGAAGATAAAAATAAGCAGTCACAATCAAAAGCACTATCAATTAATGATTAAATCATCTTTGCCAGGCAGTGGTGGCACATGCCCTTTAGTACCAGCACTCAGGAGGCAGAGGCAGTCTCTGTCTCAAGCAATGAAGAAAAAAGAAAAAACTTGTCAGAATGGATAAAAAATTTTCAAAAATAATACAAATAATATAATCATCTCATATACCTGTTCCTCTGTCTACTGCTACAAAAAGAGGCACTTGATAAAATGGGATTCTGATATTGAAAAACCATGCTTTCAAGTTCATTACTCTTCAATAAAACCTGTACGTTAAAAAGGAAATATGGCTGGGTGTGGTGGCTTAGTGGTGAATGCCTTTAATCCTGTTATTGGAGAGGCATAGGCAAGAAGATCAAAGAATAATCTACATGAGCGAGCCATAGTTACACAGTGAGACTCTGTCTTAAAAACTAAGAAAAAGGAAGAAGGAAGGAAAAAAAATAACTATGATGTATGTCAACTGAAATAATAAAAAAAAGCCACATCCACATTAAACATTCTACAAGGTTGGCTGAACTTCTATGATTGTGGCAAGTTAACAAGATGCAGGTCCAGAACCAAAATATCTTCCCTGTGTGTGACCCATCACCTCTGTGACTATTCGGTAAATCCTTCTGGAAAGGACAGAGACCTAGTTTCACCTACTCAAAGGCTAAGAATGTCATCAGACAACATCTGAGGCCTGCAACAGGACTTCCTTGCTTTGTTGTAATCTGCCTACCTCTATATTTCTACTAATGTATTTTAAAAGCATCTTGGTCTATAATTTTTTTTTTGTTCTGTGACCTTTTTAATATAAAAATTTCATGAAACTGTTACCACAGCAGAACATGATATTTGGTGTCATCTGTCACTTAAACATATCTCAATTTCCTATATGTAACTCATTCCTTTTGAAGTGAACCGTTTTTTGTATTAAGCTTTTAGAACTGATTTACTAGTTTAAATATCATCAGAAAACAGTGCTTGTGGTGTTGACCGTGTTGCATCTGAAAGGGAAAACACCACATATTAGAACTTCAACTCTACTGTCATGAAAAGCACGTGTTTCCATCTCTCAGTTCCACCTGACTTGCACGCCCATTTGATGAGGTGAGGAAAATTATTTGTGAATGGAAACTTTATGATTCACTAAGAATACCATCACTATTATTTTAAGCTCCTCCCACTACTCTCCCTGGGGAGGGGAGGTCACAACTAGTTTAAGAAACGTACCTGTAATGACGACGAGCAACCAAAGCAGAGGCCACTCTCCCTTCCCTTTCTCCCACACCACAATTACCCAGGAAATTGTTGCTATCCATGATCGCAAGCTCATGCAGAAACAGTTCCAGTGTACTTTCATCCCAGCCATCCTCCGGACACTTGCCCTTAAAAAAAAAAAAAAAAGGAATGACAAGTATATTCAGGAAAACTATCGGTCCTAAAACGCCACATCAATGTACTTGAATTCTTTTTAATGCGTTTTGCGTAATGTCTCTTCATTCCTCAATCAGAAAAACTTGGCAACTATGAAGAAAATGTCAATTGGCCATTTTCTCTATTCGACTACAAACTAGAGATTGAGAACGGATGTAATACAGACACTGAAATTGGCTGGGATTCTTAAATCTGTTAAGTGAGTATAGCTGAAAAGACAATGCCCTCAAGGAGAAGTTTTCAAACTAGGGTCTGTCGCGCTTCGGGGGCACTGAAGTTCTGGACGACTGTCAGGAGCGAGGCCTGGGGGTCTGGCGAAAAGCTGCCTGCTGGAGCATACGGGCAGCCGCCTTCCCCGGAGGCCCAGGCTGGCCAAGCACCTGGACTTTGGCAGTTCCGCACTGCCGAGGAGCGCGCCGCCCCTGCCCTCCCCGAAGACGCAGAACCCGGGCGCCGAGGCAGGAGAATACCTGATCTAGAAGCTGCCGGATGTGCTGCTCGTGCGCGCGCCGAGCCTCGCAGCCCTGCCTCACGTAAGCCGGCGAAACCAGCCTCTCCCCGGCCGTGAAGCTCTCGGGGTTCATGACGGCGGCCACTAAACACAAGCCAAGGCCCAGGATGCAGCGCGCCGCCCGGACGGTACGGGGCGGCCGCGGACCCAAAACACTCCAGGCCACCGCCTTCGGCTTCCGCGCATGCGCAGAGCCGGTTTGTGGCCGCCTGGCTCGCGCCCCACAAGAATACCTTTACCACCACCACCCAGCAAGCACCACCACCGCCGCAGAAGAAGTTGGAGGCCTTGAGCGTTCATGACGGAATTGGCAAGTTGAGAAGGTTTCAGGAGCCAGGAAAGGGCCGTTGACATGGGCTAGGTAAACCCTCTTATAGTCGGGAACTATGCGAGGAACCGTAGTACTTCAAGAGAGGGTTGAGAAGGCAGAAGCCGTTGTGTGGCCTTAAGAAATGCAGGTTTCTGATCTTCCCCAGTTATGTCGTTTCAGGCTTCCTCAGACTGTGTCAGATTCCAGAACCTTACGTCCATACCTCGATACATTGCAACGTTTACCTACTGCCTGACAACCTTATGAAATGATAGAGCCCTACTCCTATGGCGAATTTATCTCACGAGAGTTACTCTTTTCATTTCAAATTATGCAATAATGGAATCCATCACCCTACTATTGGAAGAGGAGCTTCATGAGTGTCTTAGCTGAGATCTGGAGTTTTCTGTACTCCATTTAGGTCTACAGAATTCCTTAGAGAACTTTGTACTAATATCGCTTGTCCGTACAGTAACACAGATATTACTGTATCTTTAGAATGCAGTAGTCGACCTGATGTAAGAATTCACTGATGGCAAAACTTATGCAGTTGTGTGTCAACAAGAGAACAAGCATGGCAAGCAAATTCTATATGACTTTGAAATGTTTGAGGGGAGAAGAACTCATCTCTGTTTAACGTCACAACAAAAATGGACAAGAAGTTAAGGGACTCTGCGATGCACTCCTATTTCTTAGGTTGGTAGCCATATAAAAATAAAGGCACTCTCAGAGATGGTCTCACATGCCTGTAATCCGAGCATTCGGGGAGGCAGAGGCAGAGGCAGGCAGATCTCTGTAGACAGCCTGGTCTACAACTTGAGTCTGGGACAGCCAAGACTACACAGAGAAACCCTGTCTCAAAAAAAAATAAAATAAAATAAAAAAATAAAGGCTCAAGGGAAGAAAGAGGATGTGTGGAAAATAACGAAAATGCCAGACCAGCGTCCTTGGCCATTATTAATCCTTGGCCATTATTAATCCTTGGCCATATAAAGGCCACTATTCAAAGACATCATTGCACAACGTCAGGGTTTAGTCCCTACCTTTGAAAAGAAAGAGTGGGGGAAATGCCGTTGGAGCTTTTACTCAGCTAATCTCTGAGCCTCCCAGGACATTTGCTTGAGGCTATCAGATGTGTTGAAAGGGATGTCACTTGTCTCTGTGGAGCCACTTACTGTAACATAGACAAGGTGGCTACTCTCCCAAGGCAACATTAGTTGTGAAGCTTTACAAAGATCACTGAGCTTAACTGAGAAACACTGTAACCTGCCTACAACGTAGTCTAGAAAAAAAATCTACAAAGATGGACTGAACCATGATCATTTTTCACCATTTTTAGATTGATTTTTTTAAATACGTTTTAGTTATTGTATGTCTATTTTCAGGGTGATCTACAGTATTTCCTTGCCAAAAGATACAGCCTTTACAGTCTCTGAAAGTTATCTGACTTTATTTTAACCTTGGTTAAAAAAAAAAAAAATTCCTAACAGTGACCAAGGCACATACTTCTATCAAGGAAGTCAAAGTCTAGTCAAACCTAAAATGGCTTCAGGAAGAATAGGAGATGGCAGAACCTCTGCACTTTCTTTCCCTGTCACTGAAGTGGGAAAGGGGGTGACAGAATGCATGTAACATACTTGAAAACAGGGCTCTTGGAAAAAGGAAAGGAACACTGAGAGGGAGGCAGGGCATGGAAGCAGGGAGAAGGAGAGAGGAATCAAGAACCATGTATGGAAATACCAGAAAGAAACCCACTTCTTTGTATAGTAACTTTTTAACAGAAAAAAAAAGCAGATTAGAAATCTTCAGAATGAAAAGTTAACCTAACAAGATACTTCAAACTGAGGGTTTTGAAGAAATCTTTCAGAAATAGCTCATCTTCTAAAGGGATAGGACCTTCAGAACAGGCCAATGGCCTCAAAGTAGATGGCTTCCTTTCGAGGTATTAAACCAAGGTCCCATCTACTTTTTTAAAGTATAAAATATGCCCACATCCTTCTCAGTTTAGATAGACCCTGGCTGTTAGCCTCTCTTCTTTTTATTCTTGTGTTGGTATGCCAGGCCATGCTTATTCTAATGCCATCCACTTCCCTCAGTCACAGTGACTGCTACATGGGCCATCTCTCACTAGGCCTCATCATTAAAACACCCAAGCAATTTCAACCTCATTAAACAAGACTAGAGGAAATCTCAACCACTGGTGCTCCCACCTGCAATTATATGAATAAGTGATCATAAATGATTCAGCAGAAATCACTTCACTTATGTCCATCCCCGCCCTGGAAAAAAAAAAAAAAGATTATTATTACAATATTGATCAGACCAACGGTGTTTCCGAATTTCAAGGGAAATGGGCCAAATCCTTGCCACCTGGAAATGACTAGTTGAGGTTCAAATATGTATCCCAGGTAATGGAAAGCCTCGGTTTCTACTTTGTGTCGTGAGTCACACATACACCCCACCCCAGATCTCCCTGTGTCCCCCACTGAATCCAACTTCAGCTTGAAGAGAACACCTAACCCTGCTTGCTTCATGCTAATACTTCTTGCACTTTAGTTTTGTTATTCCAAGATATGTCTGTACATATTTCGCCCCTGCTCCAACTCAGGACCACCCATTCCCAAACCAATCACACAAGGTGCCCCGTTCCTAACTAGCTGCCTTCAGCTTCCCAAGGCCATCCTTCCCAATCCTGGCACACCTAAAACATTTCATCTATTACATTTTCCCATCCTCTAACTACTTTTTTACAAAAATTGGGCACCAGCCCAAATAAAGACCAAAAAAAAAAAAATGCTGGTATTCTGATTGGCCTGAACAGTGTTTTTTATAGTCCTGTCCACACATAGCTGCTCTCTTTCCCATTGGCTAGATACTTTTCCAGCATATAGTGTGGCCCTACTCCAACTTCCTCATCCTCCTGGGGCGTGAGATTTTCTCCTCATCTCTCTGACACATGGGCTCAGTCACAAAGCTTGCTGAATTTCTCTGGGTTTTTTAAGATTTATTTTTACGTGAATGTGAATGTCTGTGTGGGTTGTATGGCATGCGTGTATATGCCCCCAGAGGTCATAAGAATTCATCAAATTCATGGAGTTACAGGAGTTGGTAGCTGTATATGTTGGGTGCTGGGAACCAAAATAGGTTTCTCTGCAAGAGCAATGAGCACTCTTCACTGAGAAGCCATGTCTCTATTAGGGCATCTTTGGTACTGGAAATAGGACTGTTTCTGTTTTGTTTCTTATACTGATTTCTAGCCCTCTCTTTTCTTTTTGAGCCCTTTGAAGTGCTGGTTGTAGAGATTAAATTCAACTGAGCCTGCAGACCTCTAAAGGACCCAAGGAAAACTTGGGTATTTGTTGTCTGTTCCCTGACAACTGGAGAATCACTTCAGTCCTTGTGTGAAGCAGCCTAAGATTAGGGTTGCCTGCCACAGAGCATCATCCCATAGTACCAGGGAAACTAGAAGAAAGATTAAGGAAACTTCTAAAACCAGAGTTGGGGGGAAAGATAGTTCACCATGCTAGAAAGGATAAGCTGGTGAACCAGGAGAAGAACTAAGAATGAGCCACCTTGAGTCTTTAGGTCCTTGGGGCATTTATTAAAACTAAAACTACACAATGGGCAATGGCAAAAGTTCTTCCCAGCTTTCTCCAGTCAGCTGAGGAAGAAAAATCTGACCACATTCTATTACTGCCGCAGTCAGCTAAGGGTGGCTGTTGTCTGTGACTCCAAACTAGGGTTAGGTGTTTGCCATAGAAAGCATATTATGGTTCTTTTACCTTTTAGTTTTGGTGGCCGTGGCCAGAAAAGCAGAGGTAATTGTATTTGCTGCCATCAGTTTCTCTTTTAGCTTGATCGTTGTTAATGGTGATGGTGGAGTGTAGTGGCGATGTGTGTGTGTGTGTGTGTGTGTGTGTGTGTGTGTGTATTGTGTATATTTGTGCATCAGTTTCTACTTCAGACAGAGCCCCATTTTGTACTCTTGGCTATATAGACCAGGCTGTTCTGGAACTCCTAGAGGTACACCTGTCTCTGCCTCCTGAGTGCTGATACTGAAAATGTGCCCCATCATATCCAGCCCAAGCTGCTCATTTTTTAATTAAGCAGTGACAAGCAACTTGAGAATTGCTTGCTGATATGTTAACATTTGAAAAGTTTTTAGCTACCTGCTTGAGAATCGGCCTCCTCTCCCAATTCCCTAACTGCTTGCTTTACCCTAATTACACCATAAATCTAAACCCAAAATCTGAGGTTGAGCTGGGAATTGACTAGTACTCCAATTGTCTTCTACTCCCACAAAGTCTGACTTGCAGTCAAAACATGGGCAAAAGCGCGCTCCTTGGTCAACTCTTAGCTATCTGTATGTGGCTTATTCGAAAACAATTATTTGCATTCAAGCAGCCGCCTAACTGAAGTAGCCAGGCTCAAGATCAAAAGGTGAGGGCTTCAAAGCATGCCCTGATGTTCTAGCTTAGGGATCTTGGGTAAGTGACTTCAGTTCTCCATGCTTCAGCTCCCTGTCCTTTAAAGGAATCAGTAGGCATACCTTCTTTATCCGAAGTTAAAAATGCATAAAATAACAGGTATAAATAAATAGTGGGAATTGATTCTTTATTTAGCAGTGTTGGGAATGGGTTCCAGTTCATGGAGTGGTCCTTAAATATAAGTAAAAAGTGGTTGGTTACTGTTATGGAGTTTGTGACCCCTCAAAAAAGACCACAGATTCAATTCAATTATAATTAAAATATTATTCATCTGCTGCTAGCAATTTGAACACTCTCTGAGCCAAATTTGATATTGCTATTAGAAGCAGGATGAAGAAAGATCTTTAAAG